TCCCCACCTTTTCCATAATCAGAGAAACTCTTCACAACGAAAAGATTAGAATCCTCTACTATGGGTAAGAAGGAATCACTGACGGTTTCCTTAGCCTCCCGTTTAAATCCTCCTTGGAAGCTGGACAGTCCCTGCAGTCTGGCATCTGTGAGGAAGACACTGCCAGCTCTTTGAGAGCAGAGACCCTCGAAGGGCCAGCACAGTGCAGATGCCCACTAGGCCACTGGGTGACCGCTGAAGGAACAAGTGACTGAATGTGTGAGCGAGTCTACATCTATAATAGCAGCCAGAAGAATTTCAACCTAACCTTGAAGAACACCTGACTACTCTTATACCTGCTTTAAACGATTTTCTGTTTTGAACTCAAGACCCTTCTTCTCTTTTCTTTCCAGCTTATCTACATACTTATTTTCATGTTTGAGAAAAAAAGAGTAAAGGTAAAGATCTTATTCTCAAGCACCTGAAGATACCTGGCATGTAAATGATGGCCCCTCCAGATGACTGAAAAGAGAACATTCTTACCTGACCTTAAGAGGTCCACTTTCTGTAAATTAGGTGGCATATGCTTTAAGGCTACATTCTTTAGATAGGTCTCTGTGTTCGCCATGTACCTGAAATACATAAATTAAAATCACTATGACAACCCAACTGGTAGGAGCCACCAGGACTATCAGACAGACAATGGCTCTGAGATCAGTTTTGTGGACACAACCACCAAAACTCATGTTCACAGGCCAGGGAAAGAAAAGCAGTGCCCACACTCACTGCTCACTCACTCTTTGGCAAAGGCAAACTCTTCTGGAGAAAGGCTGGAAGGCTCCTCCTCATGGCGTGTTTTCTCCTTTTCAAGGACATGAGGAAAAAACTTCTCTATCTGTGGGATAAATGAAAATCATCATGAAAACACCTGTCAAAACTCAAGTGTTAAACATACTAGTTTTCTTTTTAAAAAATCTATATTTTTATTGATTTCAGAGAGGAAGGGAGAGGGAAAGGGAGGGAGAGAAACATCAATGATGAGAGAGAATCATTGATTGGCTGCTTCCTGCATGCCCCACACTGGGGATCGAGCCCACAACCTGGGCATGTGCCCTGAATGGGAAATGAACCATGATCTCCTGGTTCAGTAGTTAACGCCCAACCACTGAGCCACACCGGCCATGCACTAGTTTCCTGAAATAGGTTGAAATTAATACAAAAATTGACTTCAACAATGGAAAATCTTCCTGTCAAGACTGTTTTTAAAAATAAGACCTATATTCAATACTGCAAGAAGGTAGGTTTCAAAGAATTCAGAGGAAACATAAGGGCTCTAAAACTAATTAGATGCTTTCTGTGAGAAGCCACGTCGTGTGTGGCTTAGGATCTGGAGAAGGGCTGCGGGCAAATGATGAGATGAGATAAGAAATAATAATTTGAAAATTGGGGGCCAGGCAGAGATCCAATGCTAGGGGAAGGACTTCGCTGGTGCCCAGGCCCTGACAACCTTTATTCAATTTTGGCTACATATATTGCCCTTAGGCAGGCAATTCTGGTAATAGACAGACTATCTTAAAGGTCAGTAAATATTAGTAAAGATTTACTTTGCGACTATTCTATCAGGAAATTGCTTGAGCCACAATTGTCTCAATTAAACAATTAGTGCATGGCTTTGGCCCTTGCCAGAGCTCAACGTTCACCAGCATTCCGGAATCCTTGTTTACACTTTTCTGATAGTGAAGACAATGGGTAGCTTCCAACAGCTTTTGTAAAAGATAATCTGAAAATACAATTGTAAATGATATTTAAGAGGAAGAAAAGGGTATATTACTTAACATCTTATGTAATTGTACAGGGCGTTCTATGAGATAAAACATATACAAAACCTGGAAAGATGCATACAGAATACAGAAGTAGATAGAACAGTGACACTTAATTATAAAAATGTAAACAGCAAGCATAAAGCCTACAATGAGGTAAGGCTTGGAAAAAAATGCTAAGAACTACTAGGGGAAAAAAATAGCTAAAAGCTACAAAAAGACATGAACCTGGAAGGTCAAAGACATGACCTGTTGTCTGAAGTCAGTGATGTAAGCAGGGAAATGACAGTGGCAAGAAGGAAATGACGCCCAAGCTAAAGGAGCAGTTATTTACTTATTCTTTTAAAATATATACATATATTTGTATTGATTTCAGAGAGGAGGGGAGAGGGAGAGAGAGACAGAGACATCCATGATGAGAGGGAATCATTGATCGATCATTGATTTTTTTGCCTCTTGCACAACTAGCACTGGGGATCGAACCCACAACCCATGCATCTACACTGACCGGAATTGAACTGTGCACTCCTGGTTCGTAATTCGATGCTCAACCACTAAGCCATGTCGGCTAGGCAAGCAGTTATTTATTTAAAGGAGTTGTAAGTCATTTGGCTTGGATCAATTATGTTCTAGGATAAATTATAGTAACATTTATATGGGGCTTAAGTGCACAAAGAACTTTCTCCTGTTATATGTAAATTGCTAGTACTACTGTATCACTTAGTATACTAAAAATTTATGTAGTTTCCTAATCTCAGAAGAATTAGTTCTTTTGAAAATTTCCCAAATGATAGGGAATCTACACATACAGATTAGTGTCCTTAACCCTGATATGTGGCATTATATTAGAAGAGATAATTTAAAAGATGGTTTATGAATTCAAAGAAAAGTAAGTAGTTAACACCAAGAGGATTTATCCAAAAAACAACAGAAAAGGGAGTGGCCTGGCAGTTGAGGGTGTCTCAATATTTTCAAAACATGATAATGTCTTTATGACACCTTTGGGAACGAACTGTAAACCTGGGGCTGGGTGACAGTATAGAGTGGGAGATTCAAAAACAGTTGAACAAAAAATACTGATTCCATGGAGGGATGTCAATGGGTAGGGAAAACCTCTGGTAGAATATCCTATCATTGGCCCAGACCTATTTAAGGAGTCAGGTAAGACCTTTGATGACATACTTATCAAACTTCCGATGACATACAGTGTTAAGAGAGAGTGATACATTAGGTGACAAGATCAGGATCTAGAGACCATGGAAATGGCCCAATTTAATAAGTTAGGCTTAAGAGGAATAAGTATCAAACCCTACATTTAGGAGTCAAAAATCCAGCCATACAAATACCAGACGGTGACAGGATGGGGTAACAATAACTTAAAAACTTCAGATAAGGTTAAAGTTAACAATGAGTGCATATGAGCTCAGTGTGAGGAGTCTCATACATACTAATGTATACTAATTATACTAATATTATACATTATACTAATGTATAATAATACCACACAGTATTATTACCATTTTAATACCCCAAATAAGGGAAGTGACCATCCTGCTTTTCACAAACATGACCAAACTACAATTGAAATATTGTATTCAGTTCAGGTGGTATAATTAAAGAAGGATACTGACCAACTAGAACTTTGTAGGGAAGAGACCAGGAGAGTAAATGGAAATAAATGGTTGAAACATTTAACCGAGAAGGTTTCAATGAGACTCGTGAACTATTTTCAGATGTCTAAAGAATTCTTAGGAAGGAGCATGTATTCATTCAGTGGTAACTAAGGGGATAAGCAGAGCCAAAGAGAAGAAACTTCAAGAAGTAAGAACTTTCTAGGGTTAAAACAGATACCATACAAAACAGGAATATTCTGCAATTTCACTTTTACAAGTTAAATGGCTGCAGAGCTCTGGTTGACTATCAAGGCAGCACTACCAGGCTGTAACTCCAGGGGACACCATTCACACAGCCAATAAGTTGGCTAAAAATGTGTTCCCAGAGTGTGCAGCACATGTTCCCTCTATGCTCCAGAACAATCTCTTGTCCTCTTACTCTTTAGCTATCCTGATACTGGACCTTAGCAGCATCTTCAGGGCCTGCACCCTCCCAGGCCCCAGCCCAAGTTTTCCCCAAGATGTTCTGTTTATATTATAGACTGCATTGCCTTAATGCCTACAGATATCTCCATGTCAAACCTTCATGAGCCGACACCGCAAGTAGCTGCTAAGGACATAACGAATCCTCTCTATTTCCATTCGATGAATACTGATCTTCAGGTCCCCCTTCTTTGCTCTCCTGAGATTTTCTTCCTATTAAAAGGGAAAATGAAGTTTATAAAAAACATGATATTCAAAGACTAAGAACCTTCTTTGTTTAATCTACACAGAGCCCACAAGGACCATCATCATTGGCAATGTTGAGGGCTCGAACACTACATTTAGGTCAAAGGAGAACAAAATACTCCCAAGAGTTCTATTTTCTTTTAATTCCTTAATTACACAAACAATATATGACTTCAGTCTTATCACATGAAGTTCAAACAATACTCATTGACATACCTCAGATATATTGTGGGTTTTGTTCCAGACCACCACAATAAAGCGCATCATAATCTTTTTGCTGATGGGGGGTGGGAGGGTCTTGCCTTCAATTTGTAAAAAACTCAACATATGTGAAGTGCAATAAAACTAGGTGTGCCTGGATGGTGTGGCTCAGTGGTTGAGCACTGGCCTATGAATCAAGAGGTCATGGCTGGATTCCTGGTTGGGGTATATGCCCAGGGTGAGGGCTCGATCCTCAGTGGGGGGCATGCAGGAGGTAGCCAATCGATATTTCTCTCTCACCGATTTTCTATCTCTATATCCTCTCCCTTCCTCCCTCTAAACTCAATAAAAATATATTAAAACACACATATAAACTAGGTGTACCTGTACTTTTAGAATAGTTAGATAAAATCTGAATATGATTGGTCAGAAGGGCCTACAAGAACTCCAACCCAATTATAAAGGAGATAATACAGCAGATAGAAGAAATGTCTAAAGTCTAAAAAGTAGTTAAAACATCAATTGAGAAACCATAAAATATCAATGTTTTAAAGCTACTCTGAGGTTGATAATGACTTAAGCCAAGCTCATCTAAGACAAGAGCCACAAACTCACATGTCTACTGGGAACAGGCAGGTAAGATATAGGAGAAAGGTGAGCAGTTAGGGACTATGGGGCACTGAGACTTCACTGAAAGGGGGAAGCCCTTACCTTGCCTTGGTCAGCTGTTTTCGTATAAAAACATGGGGCTGGTGATGATAGGTTTTTAGACTTCTCATGGGAAGCTGATATTCAGATATTCACAGGTACTTTCATGCTTTGTAAATGTAGATAACTAATTCAATACTTAAAAAACAAACTAGACTGGGCCAAACAAAACAGATTTGCTATCAGACCTCTCACTATACTGACAAACCCTTTTAATATTCTCCTCCTTTATAACCCTGGGATAAGCAGTTCTTACCATGTGGTCTAGCTGTTCCATGACACATTCCACAATTTCAGGCTTGCTTTCCAGAAGGTCAGGAGCAAATTTTTCATTCATCCAAGCCTAAAAAACAACACCAAAAAAAATTATACACACACACACACACACACTACTCATAATGGAGCAAAACAGCCCTGTAAGTCAGTACATACCCCATGAAAATCACAGCTGTCTCAGGTAAAAAAAACTGCCTACCAGTTGGAAATACTGGAAATGTGTTGAAGGCAAGCTGTTTAATAACAGTTTTCCCATTTCTTTTAGTAGGAAATTGGGTTTGCAACCTTATATTTAACCAATATTACAAAAAAAATCACTGTTCACTTCAAAAATGTTCTCAGAAAACCTGTTGCTGAGAGTAACACCACCTGGTGTTCAAACAGTACCTTTCACCAAGTAGCATCAACACATTCCCTTCACCTGCAATTTCCACCAGGGGGCACTAGCACCTATCTATTTGGGGAGATACAGTAACACTAATAAATCTATACAGCTCTTCATTCTTGAAGCTCAAAGCACTTTGAAAATAGTTTTTGTTCACCATAATATCTGAGAGGAAAAAAACATAGTTAACCTCATCTTATTGAAGAGAAAACACAGATGAAGTTATTTACTAATGCCCAAGAATATAAAGAATGGCAATAGAAGTGGATATTCATCTATTAAACAGCTTTGGAACAAGAGTTTAAATCCCTAACTTATGACTCAGGCACAGATGCTTGGTGCATTTCAGAAATTACCAAGGCTTGGAAAATGAAAATACCCACAGGTGACTGAGGAAGTGTTTACTTATCTTTCAGATACAGAAAATTTAGGTTTAGCACAGCTCAGAATTACATGCCAATTAGGCTCAATTTATTTCTTTTGACATCATTGAGTCTCTGCTTCTCCAATTATCACCATCAAGACACATTCTTAAGTACTGGGTATTGCTACTATCATAAATTTTTTCTGGTGCTCAAGTTTCTGTATTAGTGTTGCAGAAGTTACCCAGAAAGACAAGAAGTATAATGAATGAAAGAGCAAACTGTCATGGAAAACTTATAAAGAAGTTTTTCTTTTTAACTGACTTCATTAAATATTAATAGTTATAAAATACATATGAACATGAAGAATAGTAATATAAATATCTGTGTACATTTAACTTCATTATCAAACATTGTCATTATTGTAAGTTTCTGTGTCCTTCCTTTCTCAGAGGTAATCATCAGCCTGAATTTGGTGTTTAATATTCTGTTCAGAGGGGAACCAAGATGGCGGCATAGGTTAACGCAGGAGTTTGCTGCCTTGAACAACCACTTCAAAAGTGAAACTAAAAGACAGAACGGACATCACCCAGAACCACAGGAATGCTGGCTGAGTGGAAGTCCTACAACTAGGAGGAAAGAGTAACGCAGACGGACACTCAGAGGAGGCGCAGTGCTGAAGTCAAATTCTGAGGTGCGGAGTGCGCGGAGCGGGCTGGCGGTGCAGAGGGCGCGGTTGTTGTTTTCAATCGGGAGGGAGTCACAGACTCTGAGCTTCAGATCTGGGCGAGTCTTTAGGACCCAGACTCAAACGGGAGAAGCGGGACTGTCTAGCTTCGGTCAGAGCGAGTGCAGCTTTCTCTCCGAGGTTTGGAGTG